TTTTTTTTTTTTTTTTTTTTTTTTTAGAGAGGGCTAATAGTTGGCAGGGTCATTTTTCCTTTTCCCCAATTTTATAGTACCCTATCACAAATAATTTAATGTAGATAGAGTGTGAATAGCCTCACACTCCAGTACAGTAGGTGGCGGTGTATGCACCTTAAATTGGATGTGATCTGCCAACACAATCCAAAGAAGAAGAACAATACAGGTAAAATAAGCTGATAAATGGTGTGGAATTTGAGAAATGTTTATGATTTTCCCTATGCTAAGTAGACTAGCTAAATATGTCGTTTAAAATGTATTGGGCTGTAAGCTAAGGTTTCAGTCAAATAGGCTATATATTTGAAAACAATTGCAGCCTACCTGTGTTGATTTCGATAGCATATAGCTTAGGTAGGCTGGGCTGGAAAACTCGAGGACTCAGATTTCAAGAGAGAATACTGTTATGTACGAAGAACAAGACCAGCTAAATTCTTTATAAACTGCTCTACCACTCTCCTCACATTCTTGAGCTAACGTAACAACTGTTTAGTGCAGGTACGGTGGCTCCCGTAGGACATATAAGGTGAGTCAAAAGGAAAACACAACAATAATATAAGGGTTACATAGCAAACATAACAAAAACAACTGTGGATTCTCATGACAAGTAAGTTGGCATACGCTATGTACTGTATGGGGTTTGACGCTCTCTACTCACGCACGGCAAATTTTGACTCCGTTGACGTCTCTCCATGTGGTTTCGGCTTTAAATCCTGGACCAAAATCTCATGCTGGGTAGGCTAACCTTTGGACCCATACAGTTATAGCACAGTTAGAACAAGGAAGAGTTAGGTAAATATCTTTGGTAGTCCTCTTCATAACACTTTATAAAACACTAAATAACATTTATCTGGCAGTGGCATCTTAAGAACGCTCTGGAATTCGATTTTATTAATTTGTGCATTCATGCATATCCAGACCTCATTTACAACTAGCCGGACATGTGCAGCTACAGCAGCTGTTTGACAGCATGATCTTCCTGGTGATTTATGCTACTGACATCTGCTGGACATTATTAGTTCATTTTTTGCAACATCACTGCCAGGTACCAATGACTGATTTTATTACTTATAAACCACAATATTAGGGAAAGGGAAAAGGGGATACCTAGTCAGTTGCACAACTGAATGCATTCAGCTGAAATGTGTCTTCTGCATTTAACCCAACCCCTCTGAATAATGGGGGGTACCCGGGCAGCGTCATCGCCGCCCGGGTAGCAGTGGGTTAACTGCCTTGCTCAGGGGCAGAACGACAGATTTCTATCTTGTCGGCTCTGAGATTCGATCCAGCAACCTTACATTATATGTGGTATTGGTGCACCTGTATAAAGTTGTAAATCCACACAAGAAATTGTACAACTTCACAGATCTAAAGTAAGTAAAACAAAACAAAAATGTACAGCAGTCCTACTCAAACACACAGACACACACACAGGAAAATATAAAGTTTACAACTACAACATCATTGTAGTGAATTTATTTGACTGAAATATAGAACAGACTTTTCATAGTGAGAATGTATTTTTCAAAATAAAACAAAAAGGAATAACAGAACAATTTGGTCTAGATATAGCAATTTATATAGTAGCCTACATTTTAATGAGTCATTGTGAAGCCTTTTCAGAATTTCCAACATAGAAGACAGCTGAACCCCAACTAAACCAGCTAGTGCATAATGTTCTGAGAACCATGTTTCTTGGCGTTGGAAGTTTCTCAGCACATTTAAGGAACTTGACCAAAAAAGTGTACACTAAACAAAAATATAAACATAACATGTTGGTCCCATGTTTCATGAGCTGAAATAAAAGATCCCAGAAATTTTCCACACGCACTAAAAGCGTATTTCTCTCAAATTTTGTGCACAAATTTTTTACATCCCTGTTAGTGAGCATTTCTCCTTTGCCAAGATAATCCATCAACCTGACAGGTGTGGCATATCAAGAAACTGATTTAACAGCATGATCATTACACATGTGCACCTTGTGCTGGTGACAATAAAAGGCCACTCTAAAATGTGCAGTTTTGTCACACAACACAATGCCATAGATGTCTCAAGTTTTGAGGGAGCGTGCAATTGGCATGCTGACTGCAGGAATGTCCACCAGAGCTGTTGCCATATAATTTAATGTTAATTTCTCTACCATAGGCCGCCTCCAATGTCCTTTTAGAGAATTTTGCAGTACTTCCAACCAGCCTCACAAACGCAGACCACGTTTAACCACGCCAGCCCAGGACCTCCACATCCGGCTTCTTCACCTGCGGGATCATCTGAGACCAGCCACCCGGACAGCTGATGAAACAGAGGAATATGTCTGTCTATAATAAAGCCCTTTTGTGGGGAAAAGCTCATTCTGATTGGCTGGGCCTGGCTCCCCAGTGGGTGGGCCTATGCCCACCCAGGCCCACCCATGGCTGTGCCCCTGCCCAGTCATGTGAAATTCATAGATTAGTACATAATGAATTTATTTCAAATGACTGATTTCCTTATATGAACTGTAACTCAGTAAAATTGTTGAAATTGTTGCATGTTGCATTTATATTTTTGTTCAGTATATTGTATTGGTATTTCATTACTTTAACTAAATGTTTCCTAAAAGTTCAAAGATGGTTATATTTCATTTCAATTTTGGTAATTTTCTAGGAATGTTCTCCAACTGGTTTGACATTGGGAATGTTCTCAAATAGTTCAGAGAATGTTAAGAAACAGCATTCTAATGTGGGAATTTCAGTACGTCAGCATAATGTTTCCTACAGGTTTCCTCATGGTTCTATTTAAAGTAATGTTCTCAAATTGTTCCAAGAACGTTAAGAAAACTTTCCATAAAAACCACAAGAAAACTTGGTCAAGTTGGTTGTTGATCATTACTAGACAGCCATCTTCAAGTCTTGCCATAGATTTTCAAGACAAAACTGTAACTAGGCCACTCAGGAACATTCAATGCTGTCTTGATAAGCAACTCCAGTGTATATTTGGCCTTTCCTGCTGAAAGGTACATTTGTCTCCCAGTGTCTGTTGGAAAGCATTCTCAACCAGGTTTCCCTCTAGGATTTTGCCTGTTCTTACTTAGCTCTATTCCATTTCTTCTTAACCAAAAAAAAAAAACTGCCTAGTCCTTGCTGATGACAAGCATACCCATAACATGACGCAGCCACCACAATGCTTAAAAATATGAAGAGTGGTACTCCGTGATGTGTTGGATTTGCCCCAAACATAACGCTTTGTATTCAGGACATAGTTATTTTCTTTGCCTCATTTTTGGCAGTTTTACTTTAGTGCCTTATTGCAAACAGGATGCATGTTTTGGAATATTTTATTTTGTTCAGCCTTCTTTCTTTTCACTCTGTCATTTAGGTTAGTATGTTGGGGTAACTACAATGTTGTTGATCCATCCTACATTTTCTCCTATCACAGCCATTAAACTCTGTTTTAAAGTCACCATTGGTCTCATGGTGAAATCCCTGAGTGGTTTCCTTCCTCTCCGGCAACTGAGTTAGGAAGGACGCCTGTATGTTTGTAGTGACTGGATGTATTGATACACCATCCAAAGTGTAATTAATAACTTCACCATGCTCAAAGGGATATTCAAAGTCTGCTTTTTTTTTTACCCATCTACCAATAGGTGCCCTTCTTTGCGAGGCATTGGAAAACCTCCCTGGTCTTTGTGGTTGAATCTGTGTTTGAAATTCACTGCTCGACTGAGGGACCTTACAGATAATTGTATGTGTGGGGTACAGAGATGGGGTAGTGATTTAAAAATCATGTTAAACAATATTATTGCACACAGTGAGTCCATGCAACCTATGTGACTTGTTAAGCACATTTTTACTCCTGAACTTATTTAGGCTTGCCATAACAAAGGGGTTGAATACTTATTGACTCAGGACATTTCAGCTTTTCATTTTTAATTAATTTGGAAAAAATATAATTCCACTTTGGCATTATGGGGTATTGTGTTTAGGCCAGTGACACAAAATCTCAAGTGAATCCATTTTCAATTCAGGCTGTAACACAACAAAATGTGGAAAAAGTCAAGGGGTGTGAATACTTTCTGAATGCACTATACATTCCATTCTCAGCATCAACAAAACTCTCTATCCTCCATCTTGTTAATTGTGTTCAGGTGTGTTGGCCATGCCCACTAATTGGCCACACCTGATCTTAATGAGTGCTTGTTTTCTTTGAAATGGGTTCTGAAACGACAGGTAGCTTAGTGGTTAAGAGCGTTGTGCCAGTAACCGAAAGGTCGCTGGTTCTAATCCCCGAGCCGACTAGGTGAAAAATCTGTCGATTTGCCTTTGAGCAAGGCACTTAACCCTAATTTCTCCTGTAAGTCGCTCTGGATAAGAGCGTCTGCTAAATGACTCAAATGTAAACGTAAAATGTGGTTCTGTTTGAATATACCAAAATGAACAGTTCGTATGAGTTAATAAATGGCATCTTAGCTCCATCCTGGCTAGCAGTTTTATTAAAAGTCTTATTGAAACATATTCTCAGAACGTTATTTAATTACCTTCAAATTACCTATAATTTTTGTTCGCAGAATGTTAATAAAACCTCAGAGGAAAACTTAAAGGGAACCATAGTAAAACATTCTCCGAACCTCCCTTCAACCTAAAATTAACGTTCCCAGAACAGGTGAAATGTTCACTTCCATTCTCAGAACATTAGAAAAAACTGCCAGGAAACATATGTCTTCATTCCCAGAACCAATGGGAAACCAAAACCTGACTTTCCCACAACTTCCAAGGAACCAAATGTGCTAGCTGGGAACTGTCTATCTATGAAATCAAACCTTTAATACAACTGTAATGCCACAGTGTTGGGTTGTAGTGGGACAAGTTGCAGGTTTAGTCCAGCTACCCCCTTCATACAATATATCAAAATATTTATGTATGCTCATTTACATTCAGCGATAGATATTGTAGGCCTATATAGTATGGCTGCTTCGTGAGAAATGGCTATCACCCCTCTTTGTCTGTCCTCTCCAGGAAGTGCAGATTGACATGTCTGTCTGCTACTAAGACAAAGCGAATGAGGGCTTTCACCTCTCCTATGCTGGGGTCCGGTCTGATTTCAAACAGCTTTATTATCTGGGGGAGAGAAAATATAATTTTCATTCATTCTCAGGGTCTCTTCAGGGGTATTCATGTTCAAATAACATTCCTGTCCTGTCGGCTTCCTGACAACCACCAACCGCCCTGAGTTCTAGGTCTAGTAGTAATTGAAGTAGATGCCTTTATGTATCCACTAAGAGAGAATAGGCCTAAGCCGTCCACCTAAGCATCGACCAAAACTCCTGGCAAGTGTTCCCTTTTTAGGAGGGTCTTTTCCACGATTTCCAATACCCTGTCCAAACCTTACACTTCTTCCTCAAGAAAGACTGTCAACGTTCCCATGAAAGTTGTCTAGAACATTAATATCTTATATTCTGAGAACATGGTCACCACGTTCTGGGTAAGTTCTGTTTGACAATAAGGGAATGGTCTCTTGGAAACAGTCCTTGCACATCACTGGAACATTCCTATGAAAACATTAAGTAATTACCTAATGAGACTTAAGGGAACGTTGTTTTGTTAGCTGGGTCACTACCAAGAGTTCAGGCATTCTCGTAGTTTAATGTTTCACATCGGATATTATTTTATAATGTCTTTACCTTATTTTTCTATTTCTTTGAATGTCTTGAACTGAAAGGATATATCAGAGATTTGAATACTTTTTTGTAAAATCCAATGAGAGGAGCTCAAGCTCTGATAGAGGGAATTGGGAGGGAGATGACAAGGGATGTTCTCTTGATAAGTGTGCAAATTGGACCATTTTCTGTCCTGCTAAGCATTGAGTACTTTTGGGCATCATTCACAAGTGATAATATATCATTCACAAGTGATAGGCTAATATTGTCACCCATCAGACCATTCTTGATTTAATCTTGTCTTTACATATAATATGTGTGAAATTTGTTCTTGATTTAGAATGGACCATTATCATGCACCTGTCTCGAAACAGGGGCAGGGGAAAAAATACATGTCATCTATGCACTTAAATAGCAAATGGAGGATGCTTTTCCCTTGGTTCATTTTTATGCCAGCCAGGTAGTCTATACTTCTGTTGTAAAGATAAGCAATGTGCTTAATATTAGGAAAGTTGAGAAATAAATATAGTAGGCCTAGCCTATAGAAAGCTGATGGGATCCTCCTCTTTTTAATAGAGGCCATCACTCTGTTTTCTCTCACAATTGCATAGCCTATAGAAATGTTGCGCATCATGAGCTCATGGGCTCTCATGAAGTGTTTGATTAGATTTTCGATTACATTTGCATTGATGTCAGAGTGATTAGAGGGACAATAGAGTTCTGAGTACCAGGCAGTCAGCAAGTTTGGTAGGCTACTAATGACCATCAGCAGCATCAGAGCTTGGAGAAGCCTAATTACTGTGACTAAACGGTCACATGGAATTTGACTGCCTTCATGACTTTTGACTGCCGGTGTGGCGGTAATACGGTCACTGCAACAGCCCTACCTGTACCCTGAAAGCTCTGTATTAAAACTTTTACTTCGACCGGTTTCCTCTTTTATCTTTACCAAGTCAACTGTGCTACTGCAAAATCCGCTCTACACAATCTATTATTGGTTGAAATAGTGTAGTGCAATGTATCTGTAAACTGCTCTTACCCGTGACAAAGCCAGGTACATCTCCAGTTCAGCTATCCGACGACCTATGCAGCCCCGAACCCAAAAAACAAATGGGATAGAGCCAAAGGGGTTTGGTCGGACTCGGCCGTCCCTCAACCATCGTTCAGGCTTGAACTTCGATGGTTCTGGGAATGTCTTTTCATCCTGGCTGATGGCATAGTGGCATATTGTAAACAAAGTCTAGAGACACAAGACAGCAGAGAGGGAAATAATTGTTACAGCACTATCCTAACAACGGCATGATTTACATGAATTCAAATGTTGTTTTGTTTTAATGGTTGGGTCAGTTTTACGCCAGTAAAGTGAAGATGTACTTGAAAGTCCCTGAAAGTTGGTTGTTTCCCTAAAGATAGACTAACCTTCTTGGGGAAAAAATGTCTGCCAATGATGACATCATTCTCTGCCATGATGCGTGCATTCAGGGGGACAACAGGGTACATTCTGGAGAACAGGAAGTACATCAGAAATGGTGTTAGAGCAAAGTGACGTACACAACCACTTCCACATTTCTTACCTTAGTGCTTCCTTGATGACAGCCTTGAGGTGTGGCATACAGTTGACATCTTGAGTAGATGGAATGTTGTCTCCTGGTATGCAGCGGGACACCTCCTGATAAAGGGTGTTCTGCACATTGGGGTCCCTGGACAGCAGGTACATGGCCCACATCATGGTATTGGATGTCTTAAATTATGACAACAACAGCGTTAGTGACACAGGCTACTGAGGGGAGAACGGCTCATAATAATGGTAGGAACGGAGAAAATGGAAAGGCATCAAACACCTGGAAACCATGTGTTTGATGTATTTGATACCATTCCACCAATTCCATTCCAGTCATTAACACAAGCCCATTCTCCGCAATTAAGGTGTCACCAACCTCCTGTGATTAGTGAATACATGCCCTTATCGTACAACACACCAGGGCCATACTTGTGAAATTGTGACCTGTTTCAGGAAACTAGGTGTATGTCGCGGGTCACTACTTTACAGGAGAGCCGTTTGAATTTTTTTATTTTTTTATCAAAATGCGTTTTTGGGCAGAAATGCCTTCTCGAACATGTGAACTTTCATGTGCCTTAATAACAAACTTGTATGCCATCTGTAAATACGAATAAAATTGTTAAATTACGAGCCTAGTTGGTTTAGCCAAAGAAAAAGACAGGAACCTTCCCGCTAGCCATGATTGGCTGAGTTGATGAGTGGGCTGGACATGCCGAGAGATGAGTTTGGACTGGTCTGCCATATAGCATGCTTCTGTCTATTTGAGCTGGTCAGTATGTCTAGGTAATCCTGTCTAACACGGCTTTTAAACAAATGTATTGTGTATTAAAACTGCATAAGTGTTGCTCTCCACTTTCTGGAGGACCAAGTTTTGAAATCAGTGGAATTTGAGTATGATAGCTAAGGAGATGGAGAAAACACCTGTTTCCGGATTACATCTTCAAACTAAGGGCAACCATGGAATCCGACAGGAGACACGTCCATCCATGAATGATGTATACGGGTAAGATAGTCTAGCTAGCTACATTTTCAGATATTACACGTTTCTAATTTTGACAGAAAGAGCTATTTGCTTGGCTAGCTATAGCCTAATGTTAGCTAGCTAACATTGAACCTGGTTGGTTAGCTACCTGCAGATTCATGCAGGGTAGTAACATCATGAGTTGTGATTATGGTTAATTGTTTACCTAGCTAGCTAGCTACATGTCTTAACAAAAGACTCTACTATGCAAGTTACCATTTCGGGTGCGTTCGTAAACGCAGAATAACTGATTAATTTACAAACGCTCAGCACCCGTTGAATATGGCCGGTGTCAGTAAACGTTGGCAAAAAAACTTAATTCAATTGTTGCCAGCAGCACAGTTACAGTCACCAACGCTCTGGATAACATGAAAACAGCCTAACCAGCTCTGCTAGGGTGAGTAAAAAGAGTGGGGTGTTCTCTCATTGTGTCTGGAAGTAGCTAGCAAGCGAGCCAATGTTAGCCAGTTAGCTTGGGTGCTTGACTTCTGTTGGGAGGTCAGAATGTTCGGATCAACCCTACTCATCGGCCAGAGCGTCCGGTGTGCGCTCTGAACGACACGTTTTGAAGCTAGGGCGAGTAATGTTCAGTGAGCTGTTCTGTCATTTGTGTCTGGAAGTAGCTAGCAAGTTAGCTTGGGTGCTTGACTTCTGTTGTTAGTACAGAACGCTCGGATCAACCCTTAAAAGATGGGTGGGGCTAAAGCTTAAGAGGGTGTGAACGATGCTGAATGGGTGTAGACAAAGAAGGGCTCTCTCCAGTAGTAATTGGTCACAATTCTGGTTAGAACATGGTTTGAGTCACTCAGACATGAATCAGTGTTAATTTGGTCAATAAAAATAGTGACAAAAATATTTGTCAAACACCTATTTTTCAGTGGCAATTGACGAGACTATAACTGACTAAATAGTGCCAGAAAAAACTAGAACTAAACAAAAATTATTTTTCATTTCAGTTGACTAAAATGTGACGAGACAAAATTATCTCTGTAACTAAAATCTGACTACTAAGTGGACTGGACAATCGTTTTTGGAGAGATGGAGAGCTTTTTAGTGATAAGCACAATTAATATTAGCAGCACAGATGCGTAGCAACACAGCCTTCTAGTTATCTACCCTTTGCCTGGTTAAAAAACACAAGCTGCTTTACGATATTAAAGACAATATTAGCAATGAGGTTAATATAAAAACAATAGTCTAGCTGTTTTTCTCCCACTTGAGTAGGCTATAGAAAAGTAGGCTGTCTTTGAATTTGTAGTCTCGCTCAATCCTTCCACTTTTTCCACTGAATTTCATATACAGGTTCTGTAGCCAAGTCTCCCTCTTTTCTTCAGAGAAAACGTCTGGATTCTAGCCCTTAGGCTACTGTTCATAAACGGGTGCTACGTCTTTTTCTTTCTATCATGCATTGGCAGGCCGCATTTTACATTCATAAAGCATATCGTGAGCCATTCTAAAACTAGGCTACTTGTGGACCGTACCGTTAACCATTTGTTTTAGCAGCACCTTGTTCAGTGATGTTACCTCATTAGCTAGCTATAGCTAACAACCTGGGGGCCCGTGTTCAGCAGGACACAATGTTTTAGAAATATGCTATGTAGAACAAATAACTTTGTTCAAGAATGTTTTTCAATTGAAAGTGGCCCTGGTAACATTACCAGTAGGGTATATGCAAACATTTGGTGGCACAGAAAGAAAGGAAAAGGGATAGCAAACAATTTATTGACAATCGTGTCCAAAAATTGTGTTGATATTTTATGGCTGGTTATGACAACTACATAATAATGTAAAAACCCACAAAACCTACTACACAAGGTAAAACATTCCATTACACTATAGCCTACTTGTCAACAGTAATATGGTCTGAAATGGACCATATTAAATTATCATTGTAATTGCGCACACATTGATGTCAGACATGCAGCTACCCCAATGCTCTGTTGCTGATGAATTGGATAAATGCAGGAGCACATTTCAGGAGCAGGACAAGACACCCTCTTTTTGACTGATGACTGACATAAGGGTATGTACGTGATAGGCCTATCTGGCTTATATGATTATGATGTGTCACAAAGTGTCCAAGTAAAGTGACACGTAATGCTTCTTGACAGTCATAATGCTTCTTGACAGTGTCATAAAGTGTATTTTCTAATAAGTCATTTAAAATACGATGAAAAAAAATATGGCTGTAAATAATTAATTACAACAACAACAAAGGATTTAACAAACTTTCAAATGAAAGGAAACTTCTTGGCAGGGAAAAAACACATTTGAATAAATGTGGGTTTTGACACTCTTATGTACAGTTGAAGTCGTAAGTTTACATACACTTAGGTTGGAGTCATTAAAACCCGTTTTTCAACCACTCCACAAATTTCTTGTTAACAAACTATAGTTTTGGCAAGTCGGTTAGGACATCTACTTTGTGCATGACACAAGTAATTTTTCCAACAATTGTTTACAGACAGATTATTTCACTTATAATTCACTGTATCACAATTCCAGTGGGTCAGAAGTTTACAAACACTAAGCAAAACTTACATAGGTCACGTTGTTTTTATCATTGGATGAGTCCGTGCTCCTGGTGAGTTTTTTTAGGGCAATAATTCCTTCCTTCAGGCTAGATGGACTTCATAGCCTACAATATGTGTCTCCCCTTTTCATCGGCCTCGATTAGATGATTGCATTCAAGACAAGGTCGTTTTATTAATCTCGGTTTGTCAGTGTCAGCAGAGTAGCCTACCCTGTCATTTGTGTGGTTTTAAAGATTCTGCTACTGTCTACAGTCATGGAGAGTAAAGTGTTGCAGAATTGCATGAAAAAAGTTAATAAAAGGCAAACATTTTCTCTGTTTATTCTCTGATCCTCCTAGACAAATTCCCTCTATGTCACGTTCGTTCATGAACGAGAAGGACCAAGGCGCAGTGTGATATGCATTCATATTTATTTACGTACTGAACACACGACAAACAACAAACGAAACGTGACGTCCAAGGTAGACAAATAACATACCTCACACGGAACAAGATCCCACAACCCACTAGTGCCAACCGGCTACCTAAGTATGGTCCCCAATAAGAGACAACGAGCTACAGCTGCCTCTGATTGGGAACCACCCTAACCATAGAAAACACAACATAGCAACACACAACACGGAAAATACACACCCTGACTCAACAAATACAAGTCCTCAGAGTCAGGGCGTGACAGTACCCCCCCCCCCCCAAAGGTGCGGACTCCGACTGCGCCACATAAACATAACAGGGTAGGAGCCGGGTGGGCATTCCGCCTCGGAGGCGGATCCGGCTCCGGGTGTGACCACCACTTACTCTCCACCTCCCCGTTGCGCCCCTGGTCTGGTCTGGACCTCGGCGCGCTGCTTCCCCTCTCCTTCCTCCCACGAAGTACCAAGCCCTGTCTGGACCCTGGTGTGGGAGACCCCGAACCTGGAGAGGGGCTGACGTCTGGGTCTGGACTGGAACCGCTGACTGGAGCTGGACCTAACGACGGTGGATCGAACTGCTCTGGCTCCGGGGTGAAGCCGCTGACCGGAACTGGATCAGGCACCGGTGGAGCGGACTGCTCTGGCTCCGGAGTGGAGCTGCTGACCGGAGCTGGACTGGACCCCGGAGGAGCGGATTGCTCTGACTCCGGAGTGGAGCAGCTGACCGGTGCCGGACCAGGCACCGGTGGAACAGGCACGGGCCGTGCCGGACTGGACACACGCACCACTGGCTTGGTGCGGGGAGCAGGAACGGGCCGGACTGGGCTGACGACGCGCACCACTGGCTTGGTGCGGGGAGCAGGAACGGGCCGTACCGGACTGGCGACGCGCACCACTGGCCTGCTGCGGGGAGCAGGAACGGGCCGGACTGGGCTGACGACGCGCACCACTGGCTTGGTGCGGGGAGCAGGAACGGGCCGTACCGGACTGGCGACGCGCACCACTGGCCTGGTGCGGGGAGCAGGAACAGGCCGGGCCGGGCTGGCGACGCGCACCACTGGCTTGGTGCGAGGGACAGGAACAGGTCGGACCGGGCTGGCGACGCGCACCACTGGCTTGGTGCGAGGGGCAGGAACAGGTCGGACCGGGCTGGCGACGCGCACCACTGGCTTGGTGCACGGGGCAGGAACA